TAGGTGGTGGCCATGACTAGGAGCACCTTTCACCAACTCCATGTGGTAGGAAGGCTGCAACTCTGTCTTTAAGATTCCAGTTTGGCTACCTCTATCTATGCCTTCATAACCTCGAGGCTAAACTAGTGCAATGCACTTTACATGTGGGTGAGTATCCAGAAGCTGCAGCTGGTGCAGACTGTAGTAGCTTGCACTCAGACAGAAGTGGGTCACCAGGAGCCCACAACTCCAGTCCTCCAGGGTTTACAGTAGCTTCCAGTAGACTTTTCCTTATGTACATAGTGCTGGATTTGACCTATAAGGCTTGAAACAGTCTGACCCTACATATGTAAGGGACCGCCTTCTCCCTTATGCCCCATCACAATCCTTAAGGTCAGCCGAGAGCAACCTCCTGCAAATACCTCTAGCATAAAGTTCACTTGGCACAAACGTGTGGAAGGTCACTCTTGGCAGTTGCTCCCAACTCTGCAATTCCCTCTCCTTTGAAGCCCACCACAGCCCGAGCCTGGGCATCTTCCAAAACTGCTGTAAGACTTCCCTATTTGGGCAGGTTTTTAGTAAGCAAGGCTAGAACAGAACTTGTTTAGGGGGCTTTTATTTTATTTTGATACGCTACTTGCTTGTATACATTGTATTGTTCTCTTGCCCTGTTCTCCTGTTTTATACGTTTCTTTGTTCTCCTGTAAACTACCCAAGCCTTTGCTGCGAAGGGCATCATGACATCAGCCGACCCACCCACCTAACCCACCTACAAATGAAGAGCCAGATCCACTGCTGTACTCCAGCTGCTGTGCTGTGCTGTGCTGTGCAGTGCGAGCCAAACAATTTTTTACAACAGACAGAAAGGTACCTTGGGGCTCTAACAAACAGTGCACTGTTAGAATTAGTAACTTGATAAAGATATGCCTTCTACGTGTCTCTTAGAAAGACAGAGCTTAATGGTACAGAAAGTTTTAAATTATACAGAATGATTAGGTTACAGAGCTGGCTTTGACTTCTTCCACTTTGCTCTGGATAAGAGAAACAGGCAAGATGTTGGGGAGATAAGATTTGCTGCATATTTGTCTAATCTAGTTATTCTGAGAAGTCTTGATGCTTGCAGGTGCTTAATCACAGAGATCTAGATAGTCATGCAAATACCAATGCTGGGAATTACCACCCGTCTTGCTATGGTTCTTGACTGTAAAAAGTATCCAAACCACCATGAAGAAATTAGTATAACTCGGACTTCAGGTCACCCCTTGTGCCAAAAATGAAACTTGACCTGACAAACAAACATATTCCTGGTTGAGTCCTGTGTAAACACCCAAGTAGAATCCCTGCTGAACTACATTTCTTTGTCAGTGCCTGAGCTGTCAAGATAACCTGGAAAAAAAATGCGAAAGTTTTTTGGATGCTACATCAGTCTCCAAAACCATGCTTACTCTTTTCATCTTTCTGTTCCATCATACCCTTACTGTGATCTTCTTTAGAAGATACCAGATTCTTCTCTGCCTAGAACAGTAGGCCAGATTCAGCCCACAGAGTCATGTTATCTGGCCTGCAGGTCTCCACACAAGTCTGGAAATTTGGCAGTGCAGGAATGGTGCCTGCGTTAATTGCTGCTCCCCCGCTGCCAAATTTCCCGACCTACAGGGAGGCCCATATGGCTGGATCCAACACAGGAGACTAGACTGACTGCCCCCATGCTGACCTCATACAGGAGCTGGCTTATCTGGCTTGTAGGATCAAAAGGTTAGGTACCACAGGCCTAGATTGTATGGCTGCTTCTCAGAAAAGCTCCGAGCTTGTGGCTTTGTTTAGTAAGGTAATGTGTTTTGGATGCAATTTCTCATTTACTCTGCTAGTATTCAAGGATGCGTGAGAAATGGAGACCTCACGTGTTTCTGCTTTGGGTACCAGCTATTTAAAACAGGGAGTCCAAGTTGTGAAAGCTGAAGAGAGTGACCCCTCCCCCACTTTCTGTATTAAAAAGTCTTGAACTAGTTCCTTTAACTGCACTGAAATTCCTAAATTTTCACCCCACAAATTAATTCCCCTTCAGCAGTTAAGACAAAACTCCTCAAAGTTATCTGCAGCTCTGGAGATGTTCTCCAAATATGTGAACAGACCCAAGTGGGAATCCCTCCTGCTTAAATTTTCCACAGTAAAGCAAGGTGTCAAAGCTCTATTATCTCAGTTTAATTTAGAGCTCCATGCTCTGGAAGAGGGGAAGCCGGTTGGCTGGGGGAAGGCAGTGTAGAGATCTTTTTCATAGGTTTCTGAAGGGTAGCCTCAAAAACATAGCTCCATTTGGGCTTAGTGAAGAGTGCAGAACTGCTCTGCTAGTGAGTTCGTGCTCAGCTAGGGATGAAAGGGAGGGTGGACAGAAGAAGTGCTATAAAGAAACACTGTAGTAGTGGGTGGGAGCCTGGCGGTTGCCAAGCTGAAGATAGAGAGAAAAGAACTAGAAGCTGAAATAAGATTGCTATTGCACAACAAATGAAAAGAATGAAACAAATTGGTCAGAAACACAAAAGGCAGCTTCTCTTCGGAGACCGAACTTTTGAGGCTCCAAAGAAAGGGGCAAGACTTAGTTCTGGAGCTGATAGTAACAGCACAGGATCCCTCAGAAATCTATAACTCATTCAGTGAGAAACTGGGCAGCAGAAAGTGGGGTTGATAATGGCAGGTAGTGAGAGAGACAGTCATATATAAAAAAAAATGTATACATCAAATCCGGGAATAAATCTTAAATTGAACTTGTATCAACACGCCTATTGATAAGTTTTGTTACGTACCGCAGAGGCAGTATCCCTACTCTCAGATAAAGCTCTTTCTAGGTCACTCAGACTCTCCAATTTGGTGCCCTTCTTCTTTCCACTTGGTACTGGCTCCTTTAATTTCTTCTGTTTTTTTTTAAGCCCAGATATTCCAATATCACATCTGGGACATAACACCTAATAGATAAAAAAAAAAAAAAAAAGCACAACTATCTTCAACATTAATCCTGGCTTGACATAGCTATACACAGATACTATTTAGAACAGACATACACATAAGGCTTTGCCCAACAAGCTGTTAAGCTGGAACATAAAAAGGAGCTAGAGAACTGCATGAAATGGAACGTTATGCAACCACCTTCAACTTTGATATGGTGCAATGGCTCCACTCTTCTATGGGATTAACACCCACTGCTGCAATGGGCTTCTGCCTGGACATCAACTCTGAGGACATGTGTGATTTAGATATCTTACCTCTAGAAGAGAATAAGGGGAGTTCTCCGTCAGAAACGTATTGCTGGCACATTCCTTCCATGCTTGAACCTCTGCCACTAAGGACTCCAGTCTTGGCAAGTAGTCCAGATGTACTGGGATAGAGCGACCTCTTGTCAAAAGCTCCACAAGCGTGTCAAGTACTGGTACACGCCCTCCACCCTAACAATATAAAAAACAGTAAGAATTACTTGTTGCAAGTAGGACAAAAGACAAAAAGCTCTTTGAGCTAAGCTGGAAAAAGGTTTTGTAAAACAATCTATCATTAAGGTACTTCTTTTGTCTGGTAAAGCATTAGAAGATAGTTGTTAGTTATTTTTTCCAATTTTTGATACAAGTTATTGGACAACTAGATCTTGTAAAATCCCCCAACATTAAGTACACCAACTGCTCACAAAAAGGGAAGAATAGGTTGAGAATGTGAAGGTGAAAGGTAACTTGGATGACACTAACCATGAAATGATAGAGCTCAAGATCCTGAGAGAAGGAAGGAAGGAAGGAAAACAGAAGAATAAAGACACTGAACGTCAGAAAAGCAGACTAAATGAAATGGGAGAACTAGTGGCCATGATCTCCTGGGAAGCAAGTCTGAACAGAAAAGGAGTCCAGGAGAGCTGGCTGAACTTTAAATGAGGCCCTTTTAAAGGGCGCAGGAGCAAGCTGTTTCAATGCAACAGAAGAATGGGAAGTGCAACAAGAGACCAGCCTGGCTAGACAGCAATTTCTTCAAAGAAAAGTAGTTCAATTGACAAAAATATCTTTTATATCCAGCCACACTGTTTTATATTCTCTTCAAGTGTCCAATAAGAAAATGAGAGTTTGACTGTTTCAGAGCATCTATAAATCCTTTGGAGGCAGTTAACAGAAATCCTAACAGATGTATAGCTTCAAGGGAAAATGTCAGGTACAGCAAAATGTTAAAGAACATGAAAAATAGGCAATACTCTAAAAACTTAAACAAAACGGATTTCTATTTCCCCTGATATTTCATCTGACATGGATGGCTGTTCATAATTATTACAAGGTATTTGGTCTGTTTAATGGTAGCAAACATTAGAACTTTGAACCTGTCACCTGGACACTATACATACTTATCAAATACAATTAACACGACCGGGTCATAAACAAAACCTTTCAAGCTACAGTATAATACACTGTAATAGCTAGTCACCAGTTTCTGAAAATACCATTCCTTAAAGACAGAATAGCAGCTGTAATACAACTGAAATAAAAAAAGTCTTAGCAATAAGGCTTTTACCAGCAAAGCACATGTAGCTTGGAACCTGGAGGGCCAGACCATAATTCCCCTTTAAGATGTTTAAATCTTTTCCGTGGCTAGCCCCAAAACAAAGTTGGCTCACCTCAGAGATACAATCCTAATTTACCCAAAAAGGTATCTTTCTTCTATCTTACCCATCTCCTAAGGTAAAACCAGTCACAGAGAGAGGAGAAGGGCAGCCTTATCTATGTTTTAGCCCAATTGTCTAATAGTTATGGCACTTCCCAGAAAGTGGGAGATATCTGGGCCCTCCTCAACCAGAGGCAGTTCAAATCCGTATCTCCAAACCAGGGTTCCTTCCCTCCAGGGAAGTGGCCTCCTCACTGGGCCATAGTCACAATACCTCTTTTGGTTTCCTCTCCTTGTGGTCCCATAATTCTTGATTGTGCAGAAAGCAGATGCTTAAGCAGATGCTCTCACCCTGCTTAAGTTCAGTTTTGTGGTTAGGGCGCTTTCCTTGGAAGTAGGAAGTGTGGGCTCAGGTTGATGAGAGTCTAGAACCTGGGTCCCCCACTTCTTGGGTATATCCAAGCTCCTAGACTATGGGGCTTAAAGATGGGAGTGCCCTACTTCATCCATGTGGACATTTCCCATTGAGTACCCTTTAGAAACAGTATTCCTGATTTCATACAAAGAAGGTCCACATGACCCAAGGTCTTTTTCAACCCTCTGATTCTGAGAATGGGCTGGAGCCAAATGTAAGCATGTAAAAGTTTGCAACTGAAAGACTAGGAGAAAGCTAACCTTCAATGATCTTTAAGGGAAGTCTAATAACTTTATGCTTTTCTTGTTGCTAGATAATGGTACAAAAACATAATAATTGCACTATATTTTAACACTGATAACTGGCAATTGGAGAGCTTCATCTTGAGCAGAGGTTTGCACAATGGTAAATGTCTTGCATTTTTTATGCATCAATACTTCCCTTAGTGAGTTAACTCCAGACCAAGGTAATATAAATAAGGTCCACTACTGTCTGAGACGGAGCAATCGCTATAGTTTAATTGCACAGCTATTTTAAGGCAACAGCCATTACAAATCCAAGGTATTTAATTTGGCATGACAATAAGGCAGGTACATTTAATGTGAAAAAAAAAAAAAAAGAGATATAGTAATACACCAGTATTGAGGGATATCCCCAAATGAACAGCAGACAGATTAATTTCACCTACCTGCAAGGCTTCCACTTCTTGTAGCCAATCTTTGGCCTTCTGCGCAACATCCTTCAGCACAATTCCATTTGGGAGATAAGCGGGAATCTCCTCTATCTCCTTTACTGCAGCTACAAGACTGCTTAGTGACTGCCGCGGTCTATGTAAATGAAAAAACACACATCCTATTCAGAATGTGACAATCTAGTTCAGCTGTAGTTCTGATATTCAAAGCATGGTGGGAGGGAAATCAAAGTACAAAACTGTCAGGGAGCCAACTGCTTATTCTGTCTGTCCCTTTGGGGTGGGGGGGTGGCAGGAGGGAGGAAGAGCAGAGCACTGTGGAAAGTAGAGATATGGTCAGATTTTTGTTCCAGTACAACAAAATAGTTGCTTTTTGAATCAGCAATTTTGGGGAAAGATCAGCCATTTTTTCTTCTCTGGACAAGTCCATATATCCTGCAAACGCATGTAATGTCTAGAGGAGGCCTAAGAGATCTAGTTCACCAGATATGCTGGCATACAGGACAAAAGAAAGTAATAGCCCGCTACAACTCCAATAAGAAAATACTCACTGGAAACAAATGCACTCAGAAGGTTATTGTTTAGCTGCTCCTACCAATTTTGCTTTTTAATCCCCCATATTTTGGGGGTGAAAATCATAGCCTTAATTATGACTTCTTAAGCATCCAGCAGTAAGTTTTTAATAGCTGAAAATTTTTCCTTTTTTTTTTGAATGGCCACACTGACCTGAGCAAATCACCTCTGCATCTTCAGGCCTTGTCTACACAGGAAAGTTTCACCACTTCTACTAATACAACTATAGTTATACCACCACATCTACCAATCTGGATGTACTTACTCTCTTATGAGTGACTAGGCCATCCCAAGTGACAAAGTTAAACCATGAAAGACACTCTTACATTGTAGTATAAGTGTTTACATGGGAGAGCGATCCTGGTACAAATAATACACTGGTTTAAATTCATACCTTGCTTATACTGGTCTAAATTATTGATGTAATAATCCTTATGAAACAGATATGAAGTTTCAACTTACTACTCTTCCTCATGCTCTATGTAAACCAAACATATGTGCATGAAATATCTGTCCATTTTATAACCTACTATGAAGATGCTCAACCTGTGATACAGGCAGCCTCTGTGTGCGGCATACAGCAGATGGAGGAAGCGATAGGCAGAACAATGGCAAACTGGGCAGGGAGCAGAAGCAGAGATGCAAACTGAGCAGGACAAAAGGACTGGAGTGACACTTGGGGACGGTTTCATAGAATCAGTGAGTCAGAAGGGACCTAGACAGATCATCTAGTCCGACCCCCTGCCATGGGCAGGAAGGAGTACTGGGAGTGGCAGGGGTCATAAGACCCCAGCCAGGTGCCTATCCAGTCTCCTCTTGAAGATAGCATTGATTTGTGGCCCACATGCCCCCACTAATCTAATGCATGCAGTTCTGTGCATTATCTGACTCAAGCTGAACAATAATACTTATATGCTATTCACACATTCAGAAATGAGGATGACTACATAAACAAGGCCAAGACTGGGATTAGCTTGTTTTTTCTGTTACAGCATGCAGGACACAACACTAAGAAGATTTAACTTCTACCTGGCCTTTATCAAATTTCTGGCTTTGTCATCCCAGTGTTCAGATATAGTAAGGAGTTCTTGCAGCTTAGCCATTGCTTTCTCAACTGCTGGATAAGGAGCCAATCCAACACCCGAGTCTATGAGGCGTCTCATATCGTCAAGAGTAAGGGAGCTTTGGTCTGCGCAAGCCTGTTGTACATCTTCTAGCCAGCGTGCCTGCTCCAGGCGTATCCGCAGTTCAGGTAATTGTGGAAGATCAACATCAAACTCAAAACTGACATCTAAGAGCTTCTGTAGTTCTGCTGCACTGGGTATTTCTTCAGAAAGTAGTTTCTGGCTATGCTGTTGGAAAGCTTCCACACGATCAAGAAGATCCTGAAATACACAACAGCAGCAATTAATAAAGAAAGCCAGTGCAATGCTAAAAAGCTCCTCTTCTAAGAAGAGAATAACCTTGGTTGTTCCTTTAGTTGAAAAAAAACAAACAACAAAACAAAATACACCACTCCACCTATGGGGCTTGAAGATGAATCTGATTCCACCTTGTTTAGGTCCCTAAAAACTTGCTGCACAAGGTGGGTGGGCCTTATCCACTTATGATCAAAGGGGTAAGATGGAAGTGAATTAATAAACTAGGTGTAGAACAGATAGGCAGAACAGGATTAGACTTAAACACATTAAAGGAAGAGGAGGATGTAGCCCTTGGAATCCACAAGACAAGCTTGCTTATTAAAGATGCATCTAAATGCATCTTAAAATGCATCTTTCCAACGCCTTTAGATTTAAAATAATTTAAATCGCACAGTATTGACAAGGAATGCAATATCAGGCCTCCCATTTGAAAAAGTACTGAAGTTTAAATGTTTTCATTTAAAAAGTCATAGAATTTGAGATCAAAAGGTGACTACAAAATCCTCTATGGATCTCTTTTATCACAGGCCATTAAATTTCACCCAATTACTACCCCATCCCAAATGTAATGTGAGTCCAATAACTTGTGTTGAGCAAAGAATCTTGTCTGACTCTTCAGAAAAGGCATTGGATCTTGATGTGAGAAGAGAAACATGGAATCCAACATTTCTTCCCATGACAGCTTTTCCAAAAGATAAAAAAAACCTTATTTCCAGTTTCCACTTGGCAGGATTCATCTTCCAGCCATTAGTTCTAACAGGCTGTTAGTACTCTTTTCTCCAAATGAAAGTATTTATACAACGTAATCATATAATCTCTCTGCATTCTTTTGGCTTGAGCTCTTTAATTCTCTTGCTTTAAGGCGGGGGGGGGGGGGGGGGTT